CGTTTCAATTCGACGCGCGTGGCCCAGCGACACTATGCTCATTATTTTCCCGACAGACTGATATCTAGACGGCAAATGATTTGTTGAAAATTCTTCCTTTTGCTTTTCAGAGAAGCTCGAAAAGGAAGGCGTCAAGTTCACTACGACATATGATATATTCTACTGTCTTTGTGGTCGAGACAATAGAATTTTCGAATGTCGAGAAAAACGGTTAGGAAAATGACCTTTCTCCCGTCTTTGAATTTGCAAGGGAGAAAAATCAGTCTCTTCGTATCTAGTACACTTATTCTGTAAGCCAGATGAACAAGTTTTGATTTGCCGAATTCAGAAATGTCCAAATTTTTAGACCAAGTCTTTGTCGGCATTCGTTGCCTCGTGTCTTCAAAAATATCTTTGAATATCTAGGCGGTATGCAAAAGTTTTGAGCTGAAATTTTCATCGATGATTTCTCGCACAAGTCAAATCATGCTGCTAAAATTCGAAGGAATTCGGAGCGTTGCCGTTTGAGAACTGGGCTTCAGAAGACATGAGGTCCCAATTTTGCCGATCTATTTTATCAGCCTGTCGGGAAAATAATGAGCACAATTTGGCCGTGCCAATCGCGTCGATTTAATTTTACCATGACACAATTAATTTTCTCGGCGCCGTAATTTTTTCTTATGCGTCAGAATGCCCATTATTTTCCCGACAGGTCGATAAGTCTTTGCCAAGTCTCCAAACCGGGCCTTTTCGAGAATCCGACAGGCATTCAATGGTTGCTCATTATTTTCCCGATAGACTGATATAACGAAAGAATAATTCTGTCGCGACGAGTCTGTCGGGAAAATAATGAGCACTCTGTCGCAACAAAAATCGCATCACCGCTGAGAAATTTTGTGTCGCTGAAAGATCAAATTGCTTTTCGCTTCGTCGACGCCGTCGGCGCAGCGACATTGTGCTCATTATTTTCCCGACAACCTGATATACCGTCTTTCTTCTTGTCTAGACGGACTCATTGCTCCCTCGCACTCACTGTTTAACCTTCCTTAACCTATTGCAAAGCCAAAAAAGTGCGCTCTTTCCAATCTTAGGATGAGATAATCAAATTGATCGTGGTCGGGAACGTTTAGAGGGGCTTTTTCGGGTAATGTTGTTGGCCTCAATCCCCAAAATAGTTTCGATTTCCTCGTGTTTGTTGGGGAGTTTGTATCGCGGCCGGATTAGGTTATTCCCTTCAATGGGCAATTTCCAATTTAGCGTCTAAAGATCTTATCAATTAATTTCGGAATGTTTTTTTCGCGTTTCTCCAGTTTCTCGAGGATTTGGCCACAAATTTGTGAAAGGTTTTTTTTGCAAAAATTTTTGGGTTTCTTTTGTCATTGCACAGTGCCAAAGTTTGCGTGAAACTTTAGCCGCGAACGGCAAACATTCAAATTTGCGGCTTGCCCTCAGGGGATTTAATTGGAAGGCTTCGGAGTCTGTGAAGGCGAGTAAGATTGTTTTTTGCGCACTTTTGTACTTTTGAACCGCGCTTTTACGGCATGGGAAAAAGAGATGTCAAAAAAAAATTTTTTTTTGGACTGCCGCGAAAACAAAGTCAGCAAAATAGCAAATAGTAAAACTTATAAATAATAGTAAATATGTGGAATGTCACTATAATTTTTTCTTGTCATTATTGTTGATACAATAGGCAAATCATTTTTTGGATATTTCGTTGGCCAAGCTGGTAAAAGCTCGGCTCAAGAGCATTAGTCTGTCCGGAAAGTCGCCGGACTGATTTTTTGGCGTTTGCAGTGTGTGGAAAAAGTCAAGGTGCGAGCGACCACGAAAGACGGAAAGGTCCGCTGCGGAAAGGTCCGCTAAAAAATGGCGTCGATTTCGAATATAGTATTTATTTTTTCTTAATTTTACAATTTTGCTTAAGCAGTAGTGTTAATCAGTAATTTAAAAAAAAAAATTTTGAGTAATGGATTTAGGGGCTTTCGGTGGTGCTGATTTTGAAAATTGTATCCATTTCTTCTGAGTTTTTGCGTATCTTCCTCAATTCTTTAAAGTATTAGGTTGATTCAAAAGTTTTTCCACATGTCTTTAAAAAATTTTAAAAAATTTAGACCAAAGCCAGTGGGCCTGGTATATATCTTTTCAGAAAGAGGGCTGTTTGTAGATTATAGTAGATTAATAACTTTTTACAACTTAGCAATTTGTAGTAGTAGCGCCGTGTTAAACCTTAACTACTCGAAGGAAGAAAAAGTAAACCGCCGGCGTTACGTCTAGAGTGGCTGTATCTTCTTAATATTCTAGAATATGGTATGCCTGTATGTAATCTCTATGGCATCGAGGACAATTTGCTATAGGGCTAGTCGAAAAATTTTTAGTGCGAAAAATCAAAAATTAGGGTCTGGCAAAAGTAGACCCTGTAGACGCAGCTATTAGAAGCACTAAGAGATAACGCTTTCTGTTATTGTAGTGTATGAGTAGCACTACAACGCCAACGCTAAACATTCGCGCTAGCTTTAGCTATGCGGCAGAAAAATCGAATCTTTCTAATCTACCAATATTTTACGAAATTTAGGGGATTTTTACAAAAACGTTTTCTGTTCATTACTCTCGCCCGGTATCCTAGTTATTTAATAAATAATTGATCCTACTTGGCATACACTATCAGTTGCTAGACGCGCTAAGCTGAAGGTCCTCTTGCCATACCAGTAAAAAAATTACAAAAATTCGCCTAAAAGTGCAGTTCATGCTACTTTTCTACCTTATAAGGCAATTTCAGTTGGTGACTTTTTGAATATATCATCAGCATACTCTCTTTGTACAACCTGAATGGCAGCCGAGTCAAAAAAATCTAATTCCTTTCAAAAAATTTTTAAAAATCTGCTTTTGATCGGTAGCTCGGCTCTCCGGCCAACTTTATGGGATGCTACAAAAAAAGTCAGTGTAGATATAAGTAGAGCAATAAATTCAGAAGAAACTACAGCCATCCCAAGTACGAATAACCCAAAACCCGAGACTTTTTAGTGGGCTGGAAAATTGCTAGGGCCCGGGATATTCGCCATGACACAAACAGAGAAATTTTTAGTATTTTTGAAATATTCTGAAAGGAAGCTTGTAGAAAATAAAATGCTACGAATCAAAATTTTTGCAATGTTCTGCCCCATACATCTATGCTTTCAGTTTTAACATACATTCAATCAGGCTCCAGAAATTTTATTTTGAAGTGTCTCAAAAAAATGTGGAAAAACTTTTGAATCAACCTAATAAATGTTTTAATTGGTAAAAACTTGGTCAAACATGTATGATATTGTAAGAAAACTTATGACGCTTTTTTCGTCTTTACAGCAAAAATGACATTTCTGCTTAAGCAAAATTGGAAAATTCGGAAAAAATTGATATGATTTTCGAAATCGGCGCCATCGAAAACCTCCCACACCCTTCCTCCCGCCCTCCTCTTTCCTTTTTTTAGCGGACCTTTCCGCTGCGGACCTTTCCGTACTCAATCGCGAGTGACAGCCCAAAAGAGCAAAAAGAGAAATAAATTGCACAGTGCAAAGAAAACTTTTGTCGCCGATCTCAGACTGGCGATATCCAAGGACTAGTAGCTATATTGGCGTTTTCAAACGTGTACTTTTGATAATCAATTCCGAGGAAGTCTTAGTTTTTCTTGGCAAGGAAACTGCTTCCATTGTATGGGGTATGGACTTACAGGCGTCACCAAAATCACTTCAGCGACTTTACGATCGGCCTAATATAATATCACTGCAATTTTTTTCAGTGTTTTTCTTGTTTTTCCCAAACTTCTTTATGTCCTGGTCAAAATACTTCCGACATTTTAATTATCAATTGCGAAAGCAATCCCTCATCCATCTGTTGGCCGAATTTGTTTTAGGGTGTAATAAAAGCTGCCGGACTCGAGATTTTATAAAAATTTTCGTTTTTCCTCGATTTTTGATATGTCAGGTTTCGGTTTTTAGTAGTCATAAGAGCAAGCTCAAATTAAAAAATTTTTTTTTTATTTTTTCAAGAAACAAAAAAAACATTTTTTATGATTTTTAAACTTTGAAACTTTTTTAAATAATTTTTTCCTTCAGTTGAGACATTCCAAATGTAATCTTTCCCTCATTTGTGACACCCGTTCCGATTTGAATAAACAAAGACGGGGAATTTCTTATTTTCAAGGCGTTTTCTTTATAAACTTTTAATTTCGATGGGATTTGCGGAACACATTTATGGTCTTGTTATAATAGTCAACGTTTTGGCCATTTTTTACAGTTTTTTATTGCTTTTTTGCGACTTATTGTTTAAAAAAATAAAAAATCTTTTTAAATTTGCTTACAAGCGAAGTGCTCCAAATTTGGCCCTCACATTTTGATGTAACTTGACACAAATTTAGAATTATTTTTTTTTCAAGATATAAGCGAGACCTAGCTCATGGGCTTGAAGAAAAGGCAGAAATTTTTAGAAGGAAAGTTTTAAAAAATGTGACACTTTTTTTGCGAGGTTTGGAACAAAAAGTTGTGTACTTATTTCTACCACAGAGGCTAGTGTTTCCACAAAAAATCTAATTTTTCCACGCAAAATTGACAAAGATATGGCCAAAAAGTGTTTTTTCTCTCTGACCGCTCTCCACGTTTTGTATACTCTTTCGCACACAAAGATCGTTCATTATCTCGGCTGCCTCTGCAAAGCGCGAGCTAAAATTTTCAGGAATTGATATCTGGCCCATGTTCGAAGAGTGTGCCAAGTTTAGAAAAAACCAAAGCGTTGCACTTGGGGTTCCTTTGATATTTTTTTCATTTTTTTTGCAAAAATGTAGATTTTTTTTTAATTTTTTCAGAATTTTCAAAAGTAAAAGTTTCCACAATTTTTAGGAAATTTTCCTCTCGCGTTACAACAAAACTTGTATTTTACGCGTATTTTACCCTTTTCAGACTTCAAACCGCCATTTTATGCCATAATTTTCGCGACAACTCCTCTCTGGTCTTTACCTCCATCCTCAATCCAAGCCCCAGCGCCGCAGCATGTGGCGTCAACGATTGAAGACGCTGTTCTGGAAGGAGAAATACATTCTGTGGATCATCGTGCTGTGCGGGGTGTGCATCCAGCTGGGCGACTCGTCGCGCTCCATCTCCATCCCCATCTACATTGAGAATCGGCTGAATGCGGGCCGCAAGCAGTACGACAAGCAGTCCACCCCCACGCAGGCGGATGGTAAAAGTTTGTTTTTCGCTTCATTTCACTAATCACGCTAACAGAAGGCCCCATGGCCGCCATTCATTTGTTTTGCGCAATTTTAGGCACTCCAACGGTCGTGAATTTGTCCATGTACATTGAGGGGATCAGCTCGTTCCGCACGCAGACCATGGACTTCCAGCTGGACGTGTACTTTCAGCAGTACTGGAAGGACCCGAGATTGGCGCATAATGAGTCAAAGTAAGCTATTCAAAAGGCTTAGAGGCCGAGAGAGTACGCGGAACGCGGAGAGCGGCCATAGAGAAAAAGACTATTTGGCCAAGTCTTTGCCAGTTTCGTTCGGAATATATTGTGCCTTTGTGGCATTACATTGCCCGCTACCGGCAGAAATATCCGTAAAATTTTTGATGCCAAAATTCGCAAAAAAGTCTTTTCAGTCTGTCGGGAAAATAATGAGCACTCCGTCGTCGAAAATCGCATTGCCCCCCCCCCCTTTGCAGGAAAAAAGGCTGAGAAGGCTTGGTTATGAAGAGCTTCGATGTCAAGCCTGCTGGAAAAAAGACAGAAAAAATGATTAAGTACCAAGTGCTGAGATTTTGATGAAACTTGGCACAAATATAGAATAATTTTTTCCAAAATATATGCGAGAATCCTAGTTCACGCATTGCAGGAACAACCGAGATTTTTAGGTCGAAAGTGGGCGAAAATTTGACACTTTTTGCCGAGTCTCGGCAGCGCGCCGCGGCGTACTTTTTCGGCGGCAAGGGATCATTCAATACCTCGGTGGCGCCTGCAAAGCGCGAGCTAAAACTTTCAGGAATAATGAATGCTTTTTAAACACGAACTTTATTGTCCATCTTTATCTAACCTACTGCGTTTTCAGACGTATTTTGATCCGCGATAAGGAGATCCTTCACAAAATGTGGCTGCCAGACGTTTACTTTGCAAACAGGCAAGTGATTACTCAAAAAATCGTAAATTTTTCAAAAAAACAAAGCTTGCTAATTGAAAAAAATAATTTCAGTCGAATTGCTCAATTTCACGACGTCACACAAGCCAACTTCTTGCTGTGGATCGAGCCGGACGGGTCGATTCTGTACGATACACGCGTCTCGATGGTCGTGATTTGCGCCATGCAGCTGCATGTGAGTTTGTGGAGGTATTCCGAATAAATTGGCGTTTGTTTTGCAGCATTACCCCCTTGACTCGCAATGGTGCAACTTGCGGATGCTGTCATGTGAGTTTATGTTTTCTAAGGGTTCTGCGGCCAGGGCAACGGACAAATTTTGTTTAAGTTTTACTCATTTCCTAGGTATTTGCCTCTGGTCAGTTCCTGAAAATTTAATTTTTCACTTAACTTTTGCAGTCTAGATATTAGTCTGTCGGGAAAATAATGTGGATCTATTATGATTCAAAATGCCCTCGTTGCTGTAACGCACCAAATATCCTGTCGCGGCTAGCCCTCGCACAGCGATAAAGGGCGGTTCTAAGGCGCGAAAAATCCACGTTATTTTCCCGACAGACGGATTTCAATCAGCCTTGCTGACGGCAGAGTTTGCGAAAAGGTTCCAGCAATAATTTCTCCCAATTTTAGACGCCTACGACGTGGAAGAGCTGGTCATCGCGTGGATCGACGCGGACCCAATCACTCGAAATCCCAATATAACTCTGCCGGACATGCAAATCGAACGTCTCGAGCCGGGCATCTGCGACGGCAACTACAGTACGGGTGTGTGGAGTTGCGTGACGGCCGAGTTCTTTGTCTCCAGAGAGATCACGCATCACATCATGCAAACTTATGTTCCGACGGTAAGCGTTTCTTGTTCGAAAAATTTCGAATTCTCCATTTTTGTGTGCAGTAATGAGGTGTAAATTTTCAGTCGTTGATTGTGATCATCAGCTGGTTTTCCTTTTGGTTGGGTCTGGACGTGGAGGCAGTGCCGGCCAGAGTCAGTTTGGCAATCACGACGGTAAGTGGGACGGCAAAAATATCAGTTTGTCGGAAAATAGTGAGCGTTCTGTCCCCGCTATATAACTACCGAAAACCACATTGTTGCCTAGAAAATCTGCTCGCGGAAAAGTCAAATTGCTTCTTACCTCAGCGACACAATGGGCGCAGTGATATTTTGCTTGTTTCCCCGAAGGACTGATAAAAGCGCAGATCCTAAAAAAAAGGATGTAGCAGGTGCCTACGATGCCTGTAAAAGCCGTCAGACACTTGACGGGCAAAATGAATTGCTATTCTCTCGATTTTTTATATTTAGTTATTGCTAACCTTGGTTTTCTTTACCCTGAGCTATTGCAAGGTGGAAAAGACCAAAAGCTGCTTCAAAAAATGAAGACCCATAAGTCTTATCTGGGCATCATTGGAGTATACATGTAAACAACCCCAAACGAGGTTGTAAATTATCTTGCAATTAGAACCTAAGAAATCTTAATATTTTTATTAGCGATTCTACTACTACTTTTCAAGAGCTTTTTTAACGGTGTGTAACATTGCCAATTTGGACATGCTCATTTGTACACTTCCCTAGTAAGGGACGTACAGTGGGGGACCTGATCCAGTGGCAAAAAACGTACCATTTTGCATCCAAGAAGTATCAAAAGAATGTGGCAAAATACCTCCCTCTCCAACTGAAAAAACTAGGACTTCAAAAGCGCGCCCGCTCTTTTTGTGAGAAGAAAGAGCGCACCCTTCAAAACGAAGTTTCTTCTCTTGGAGAAGGAGGCATTTTGCCATATTTTTGATACTTCCCGGATGCAAAATGGTACGTTTTTTGCCACTAGATCAGGTCCCCCACTGTACATGTTTTAGGAAAAAAACTATAAAAAGATTTCGGACTTTCTCCAAATCGAACATACACCTAGCATAACGGATATTTAAAACTGGCTGTAGAGGCTTTTAAATAAGACTTCAATCGCCTCTTTCAGCTCCTGACCTTATCCACTCAAGCCAACTCGGTTCGAACCACCCTGCCCGAAGTGTCGTACATGCGAAGTATTGACATTTTCCTCACCATATCCGTTCTGTAAGCCACACTTTTTCTTTTTTCTTATCGTTCAAAACCCCCATCTTCAAATTTCTTTACGATTTCAGTTTCGTCTTTGGCGTTATGATCGAATTCGTTGTGACCAACTACACTCAACGCAAAGGTAAGCGGCAGTCGTTGTGTCGGGTGGGATTTTCTCGGTTTTTTAACAACCCTTTCCACTCATTAACCCCACTATTTTTAACTTTCCAACGTGCCGTTATATGCGCTGTGCGGTCTGTATAACCAAGGTATGGCGAGGATTTTACATTTTTACATCGGTTGTAAGGCGTTGAGTCGGTGTTGTGCCGCCGCTGTGGTGCCCTCTCTTCCTGTCGTTTTCCTGTTCATATTGTTGTGATATATACTACAGTGTTGTGATATATACGACTATGGAGTAATTATCGACGTCTTTTTCAGCAATAGAAAAAATTGCAGCCCGTGCCTGCGCCAACATGGAGCAGGAGAACCAGAAGAGCCTGCCGCAAAAGCACCATAGCATTGCGAATGCCAAGGACTTGGGCTCGAAGGCGAGAAGTCTGGTCGGACGGATATTCAGGACGTATACGGATCAAAAGAATCTTATTGATGTAGGTTGAGGAAAAGTCTGTCGGGAAAATAATGAGCACTCTGTCGCAACGAAAATCGCATCGCCGCAGAGAAAATTAATTGTGTCGCAGCGGGCTCAGCGGCTTAATTTCCCGACACATTTACAGTGGCGGACTTGATTCAGTAGCAAAAAACGTAGCATTTTTGTCGAAAGGCCCGGCAACCCAGTAACGATACAAGACGAGAGCTCAAGAGTCAAGTGATTTATTCAGTGGAAAGGAGGCCTTTTATAGGGAAGCCCCACGTAGGAAAGTACAATCAAATTTGAATAAATGCAGATCGTTCCTCGTGGGAAAATCCTCGAAGCTCGGTCGTTCCGCCTCAGAATTTTTTATTGGGGAAGTATCAAAAATGCGGCAAAATGCCTCCTTGCACATCAAACTGTGTAGTTCGGTGACCGGAATAGACCCTTCGCTATTTGTTTTTTACACTTCGTCTTGATTTCACAGAGAAGACAGAGAAAAGACGCGCAGAAACGTACTCTCTCGCCCCAAAAATTCCCCATTTCTTCCCCGATATAAAGTTTTTTTGCGTCTTTTTTGGCGAGCTGCCAATCGATTCACCGTTGTTGAAATCGGAGTTTTTTTACTTGTACAGATCTTTTGCCACTGGATCGGGTCCGCCACTATACATACTATATAACACATAGGCATTTGCCGAGAAATGGGGGTAGATGTCGAAGGTTGTCAATTTTCGTAGAAAAAAATCTTTCGAGCTCTTCTGAATCCACTGTTTCCAGCCTCAAGAACTGAACGGAGGAATCCCACCGCACGACACGATTCCAATGCGACAGAGGCACAGTGACGACCCGCGAATACGACACTACTGGACGACGACTCCGCCGAATCAAGCCGACGATCAATCGGTGGCGTCGTGGACTTCGTTGCGACGGCACAGAGGTCGAGTGCTCACTCAGGTGGGTTTAAAATACACCTCCGCCAAAGTTTCGATTAAATCTTTCAGTCCAACGGTCAAGTCCAGTCGATCATCTCGCAACAGCCTCCGGAATACGACCATCAATGGCGCGAGCGGGAGGCGGAGCGGCTGGCGAATTGGTCGAGGCCGGAGCTGAGCTGCGACGGCCTCATGGAGTCGAACACCCGGCCCACGCATTGGGGAAATGGCGAAGGAATGAGGGATTCGAATGTGGATCAGGGCTTCAACGAGAATACGAACACGTCGCCGGCCAAGTCGACGGTCAGCGGGACGCTGAAATGGACGCATGTTATTAGGCAGTTGCAGAAGAGCAAGTAAGTTTTTTTGAGCAAGTAGAATACTCTACAGCTCTGAGTTTACTCTCAGTCTGTCGGAAAAATAGTGAGCACAATATCGCTGCGCCACTTGCTTGTGGAATTTGCTAATTTTAGCTCCCAAATTTCCTTTTTATCCCTTGTTTATTAATAATGTTGTAGAACTTGGCATTTCCAGGACCTGACGCGTTGCAAAAGGGCAACGGAAAAGGGAGGCGAAGGAGAAAAAAAGGGTAAAGATCAGTCTGTCGGAAAAATAATGAGCACAACGTTGCTGCGCCAATTGCGTCGCTGAAGTGAAAAGAAGTTTGATTTTGCCGCGACGCTACTCATTTTTTCGATGACGATGCGATTTTTTATGCGACAGATTGTTCATTATTTTCCCGACAGACTGATTCTCGAGCTAAAAAAACTCCTCCTAATGTATCAGTGATATCATCCTTTTACCACCCTAAACCACAAAAACATTTTCATTTGCACTTTGTTCCCGAAAGCCTCTTGTAAAATTCACAGATTAGCGTCATCATCTTCCAAACTTTCAGCGTTGTTATTATTGTACATACAAACAGCAAAAGTGATGACATTTTCAGGACAAGCAGTTACAAAACATTTTCTCGAGTAAAGAACGGAGAAAAGCATGGTTTCTCTTCGTACTTTGTGCCGAAATTTCAGAAACTTGCAAGGCTTTAAATTTATAAAAAAACTGTTTGGGGAATTGCTCAAAAATTTACGAAGTTTACGTTCTTTGTTTGGTAAATATAGGCTTACAGTTGAGCAATCGTAAACTTCGTAAATATAGGCTTACAATTGAGCAATCTTACACTGAAAGTACCCCAAGTGCGACGCTCAGATTTTTATGAAACTGGGCCCAAATTTAGACTAATTTCTTCCAAGACATATTCAAAACGCTTGGATCGCGCTATGCATAAAAAACTGAGGTTTTCAGGTCGAAAGTTGGGAAAAATTTCACATTTTTTGCGAATTTTGTCATCAAAAGTTTCATGCCTATCTCAACCTGTTTTCAGAGCCAGTCGAAAAGAGTTCGGTCGGATGCAAGCCAAGAAGATCGACGAGTGGAGTCGATGGGTGTTCCCTTTGTCCTATCTCATGTTTCATCTGGTCTACTGGAGCTACTACCTCTACTGGCATGGTAAAGGCAGAAAATAATCGTTGGATTGAGCTTCACTTTCTGTTCCCTGAGTTGTAATTTTTTGACGCAGGGCCTTTGGAAATTGCAGTGCCAAAGGCAATTTCCTTTTCAGCGTACGGTGTTACAGTATGCAGCTTTGTTTCCAAAGACTACTGCGGATTTTTGCTTTCTTTTTTGTATGTTTTATCCTTTCGTTTGCATTGCACTGTTCGGCATTTTTTACGCTTTGGTTGCTGTTTTGTCACTCACTTTATTTTCTTCAATATTGTAACTGCACTATTACTAAACAACTTGGCTACAATGTGATGCCAAACACGTGTTTTGGATGACCAAAAAACTGAAAAATAGTTTTTACATCTTTTCGGAGAAAATTGTTTGGCAATGCATTGTTACAACACAAATCATTTACCCACTTCATTCGCTAATCCGTTTGCAACGAAATCAATTTTCCAAGACAAGGTGGGTCGAAAAGTTTTGACATGTCTGCACGATGCGGAGAGTTGTCGCCTCCCTCCGAACGGCTGAGGATTCGTTTTGCATTGAGCGCTGTCGGAGAGCACTGTGAATTATAATATATCAGTCTGTCGGGAAAATAATGAGCGCAATGTCGGTGCGCCGATTGATCAGTTGAAGCGAAAAAAAATTCAATTTGCCCGCGACACAATTCATTCTTGCAGCGATGCGATTTTCGATGGGACAGAGGCCCATTATATTCCCGACAGACTGATAAAATGCACAGGGCCCCCTCCGAAAAGTGCAGTCGCCATTTATGTGGCGGGACGAAACTGCACGGTGCACGTCAAACTGAGGGGTCCGGTGACCTGAATAGACTCTTCGCTATCGGTTTTTTACACTTCGTCTTGATTTCGCAGAGAAAGAGAGAAAAAAGACACGCAAAAGCGTACTCTCTCGCCCCAAAAATTCCTCATTTCTTCCCCGACAAAACGTTTTTTCGCGTCTTTTTTTGGCAAATTGCCAACCCATTCACCGGACTGTTTTAGCTTGTCTCACATTGACGTGCGGTGCGTTTTTCATTCTCACCGTGCCGATTTTAAACGCGCAAAGACACTTCGCGGCGCCTAAAACATGTCAAGGCTTTTCGACCCACCTATCAGTCTGTCGGGAAAATAATATGGATTCGTCGCGGTAAAAAAATTGTCGCCTCCTCGCAGTTGACCACCAAGTCTCCAGCTGCGGCTAGTCATCGCAAAGCGATGACGGGCGATTCCAAGGCCCGACAAATCCACGTTATTTTCCCGACAGACAGATAGTATAACAACTCTCAGTTTCTTCGCTTTTTTTCACGGTGTTAACAGTAAACAAAACGCTCTTGTTTGGCTTAATCAAACTCGTTTTGCAAAAAAGTCTGTCCACTATTTTTTTGCAATTTTTTCCCACTTCTTTTCGTGGCCAAGCCCGACTTCCGGCCGCACTTTTCACGCACCGATCTAAGTTTACGTAGCAAAATAACCCCTTTTCGTGGGTTGTTGTGGACGTAGATTATTTGATTAGAAACTCGTAACGGGTGGTATAACCTTGAATTTACGCAAAAAGGCCGTGCAGGGGTATGTTTTGTATGAAAATAGAAACTTTTGTTTTTACGGAAATCATTGGAAAATTCTCGGGTAAATTGAAGTTAGAGACCATGTTTGAGTTCAGTGTTTATCGAATTTCAACGGGTCAAAGTGTAAAGTCTAATGGTTGCTATTGGTATTTTCATGAGTGCCTGGATTAAAAAATATATCAGTCTGTCGGGAAAATAACGGCGGATCGTCGCGCCTCGGAATCGCCCATCATCGCTTTGCGACTGCAAGCCGCGGCTGGGTATTTGGTGCGCGATAGCGGCGAGGCGAGACATTTTGCTGCGACGATCCGCCGTTATTTTTCCGACAGACCGATAAAAAATATAAAAAAAATGTGTTTCGTTGTCTTGACGCGACGAGATCCTGTTCAAAACATTTCTTCACGGTGCAATTGTCTCAAATTTTGTGGCGGCGCAATGGAAACAAGGTTGTGCCGCAACGATTTTGTTTGAAAAATCGAATGCACTATGCAGTTGACTTTTGTTCTTTTGACTTGGTCGAAGAGTCCATGCACTTTATGAAAATGCTAATAGTCCGTGCTTAAAGTCGCTGGAGTGATTTTTGCAAAATGCCCTGCGCGAAGACATAAGTTTTCTTTGCACTGTGCCATCTTTTGCTTTTTGCACTGTGCAACAGGCTTTTTTGGGCTGTCGCTTACATCCTGGCGTTTTCTGCGCAGTGCCACCGCCAAAAATCGTAACAGTGACCTTGCGAAGGGACCACGTAGTACATGTATGTGGTCCTTGAACTTAAGAAGACCAAGGAAAAAAAATTTTGCAGAAAATGATATTAAAATTTCGAAATTTTTATTTTTAGACAAGTCTCTGTGAAATAATTGAAATATTTAGAATTGGCTTCCAAAAAAATGATGTTGCTGCGAAAGAACTTTCTGGCTTGCCAAGACAGGTTTCCATTTGTCACGTTTGTACTAAAAAAATAGATCTGTCCACCTTTAAATATATTTATTGAAGGAAAGATGGCTTCTATTTCTAGCCAACATAGCTATTTTTGAATCGCAATTTCCACGTGTTACCTTTTGCCCTGTGTAATTGAAAAAGCGCTTTACTAACATACCCTACAAGCAGCTTGAAGAGATCAACTCGTTTTCAAGAGTAACCGATCAAACTGCCTCTAAAAAGATTTCAATTTCCTTGCAAACAACACCATATGTTTTGTGTTGACATTCGAAGTCCAGCGGAAATGTTAATTCCGGACACTCCTCGCCCTTTCATTTACATCACCGTGTTTGTGTTGCCTTACATACACTTTTGTTTGCAGTGCGCCCTAATCCGCCATGTGGAGGCTATTTCGGGGGCCATAATGAATTTCTGTTGCAGGGAAGATTCTGAAAAACCAGTGACAAACTACACATACTCAACTCCCACGGTGCACAAACAAATGAGTATCAAATTGACGGGTTCAGCCGGTCCGCGGCGGCGGCCGGCTGCGTTCACCATGTACAATAAGCCTAGCAATCATCACTTTGTTGTAATGCAAATAAATTGTTATTGAAGATTGGGGGAAGGGAATTTTTTGACTTGATCTAATGGTGGGACCTCTATAAAATGAATTACAAGAGTGGAGCCTCAATAAAATGAACTACAAGAGCACAAAAAGTTAACTGAGGTCTTGGCAATCTTTTTAAACCTAATTTACAGTTAGGACCTTCCGAAGTCGTATGTTATATCAGTGCGTCGGAAAAATAATGAGCTCAATATCGCTGCGCCAATCGCGTCCCTGAAGTGAAAAGCAATTTGATTTTGCCGCGACACAATTCATTTCCTCGGCGGCGATGCGATTTTCGATGCGACAGAGTGCTCATTATTTTCCCGACAGACTGATACCCAAATTCCGCTGCTGCGTAGACTGCACGCTCAAGCTTTGATAAACCTTAGCGCAAGCCAAAGCATTTTTTTCAAGTTATTCGCGACGTTGATTCCTAGATCTCACAAGTTGTCAGGAACAACGATGACTTTGGTTCTAGTCGTTCCAGAAAATGCGTGGATTTTTTGTTGCCGTGCACAAAAAACCCTTTTTGCGGCGTGTGTTTGAAGTTTTGCAAGTCCAATGTCGCTGCGACACAAGCTTTTCTCAACGGAGTCGGTTTGGGCGCTATAGCGATGTTATTCATCTGGAAAGCTTGCACTGTACGGTGCAAAAAAAGGCCGAAAAAAAACAACGCATGTTCTGGAACGACTAGTAGGAAGTTGTCGAAGGTTCTGTAGCTTTTTGCAGGTTTATCCATGAAAAGTGTCAGCTTAATTTCAACCGCATATGGCAAAATAAAAAAGCTAAAAGTTTCGGGGAATTGCACCCAATACCGAACGATCTTTGCCGCTGGATCAGAATTCGCAGAGACCAGGAAGAGAGGTCAAATTTTGCCAATATGCGAAATTTTTTTGCGAGTTTTGGAACAAAAAGTTTCATGCCTACTTCTACCATAGAGGGTAATGTTTCCACAAAAAATCAATTTTTTTCTCACAAGACTCGCAAATATACGGTCAAGGAGTGTTTTCCCCTCCGACCGCTCTCCACACTTCGCCTACGTTCTCAACAAAGATCGTTCAACGGCTTGGCGGCCTTTGTAAGCGAACTAAAATTTTCTGAAATTGCTAGGTGGTCCGTGCCCAATGCGTGGGCAAAATTAAAAAAACCATCTGAGCATCGTAATTGGGACACCTCCCTTGTAAACATATAAATAGAAACAACTAATTTATTTATGTATACTCGTTATCTGACCCGTTCCTTTCCTGTCAATTGTGGTATGAATTGTACAAAAATGGTACGAAAATCAAGGTATATCACTATTAGTCCGTCGGGAAAGTAATGAGCATTCTATCGCTTCGAAAATCGCACCGCCGTCGAGAAAATTAATTGTATCGCGGCAAAATCAAATTGCTTTTCAATTCAGAGACGCCTTCGGCGCAGCAACATTGCGCATTATTTTCCCGACAGTCTGACGCATGTATTATTGTATAAAAACATATTCCGAGAGACAGGTGTCCAGGAATTTATTTTAAAATTACCCGAAACCGCATGCAACCCCACCGGGTCGACCGCATAGCTTTTCGGGTCGAATTCCGAGAAATTTCGAGTGTAAAAACAGCCATGTTTACAACACATTTTTATATATATTATACTACAAAACGTTGAGGTAATTTATATTATTATGAAAGCTCTGTACGGTTTAAATTAGGGTACAGGTGCTGTTTAATCTTTCATCTGTAATCCAACCCGGCCGTATCAGGTGTAATGAAAATGTTTACGGCATGCATTGTGTGATCACTGGAAATAGTTTCAGCCTGTTTACAAAACGCCGCATTCTGAAGGTACGTCAATGGGAGAGGCTGGAAAATTTCTCCCCGGATATACGTAGGAGTAGGTGGCAGCTATTTTTATTACGGTTGACCCTTTTGCAAGCCTTAATTTTGACCGTACGAACCTTAAATACAGGGTCTTACAAAAAACGTGAAGGAAAGTCGGAGGCCATAACTTCCGGCAAAGGCGGCGCAGAGACTTCGTATTTGGAATATGTATTTCTAAGCTACATTAATTTTTGTCCATGAAATAACAAAATTTTAAGATGCAAACTAAGGTCGCTATGACCTTCTGAAGTAGGGGCATTCCTTCCCCGAAAACCAGTGTTTATCGGTTGAAAATGATCGAGATATTTCGGATTTTTTCGGTTGATAATCGTCGAGAACTGTTGAATTTTTTAGGGTTTTTGATAGAGTCGAAAGTTATAGCCTCCGATTTTCCTTCACTTTTTTTGTAAGACCTTGTAGACTTGGCTCGCATTATTTTCGTAGAAAACGTGCTGGAGATGGGTCGGACTTTTGTGAAATGGCCCGTACAGCTCTTCCTTTGAATCGAGCTTTAACGGCTTGTCGAACTTCTGACTTCCCTGAAGCTACTGTGGAAAAAATGGACACTCGTTTATAATGATTTTTTCGTGTTTAGAGACAATGTTTCCATTACAATCAATTTTTCCCACGTAAAACTGGCAAAGATACGGCAAACAGTGTCCTTCTCTGTGCCCGCTCACCGCGTTTGCCGACTTTTCGACCGTATCTCGGTTCCGGCTGCAACGCGCGAGGCAAAATTTTCTGTAATATATATACCACCTATGTCCGAATCGTGCACAAAATTTAACGAAAATCTGAGCGTCGTACTTGGGGTACCTCCCTGGCAACAAACTCTTGGTCAAAGCCTAGCACTAGCCGTTGACCGAACAGAATCCCGAGGCCAAAAGTTGCGCTTCTTACACGCTCTACCCTTCTAAGCGAATACCCTTCGGTGTGCCGTGTTCGGTTCTTTATTCACAATCCTGGCTCATACACATATCATAATTTATTGTGAGAACCAAGAAACATTATATTATACAGTTTGCAGACGACTGCTTCTCGGGCTCCTTCGCTCCGCGTTCCGGGACGCCTTACGTGCCGACGCTGCGACGCCAATAGCCCCGGAGGAGGGGCGTCACCTCGGTGCGGCGCCACTTCTGCAGCATGTCGCGGTTGTTCTGGCGCTTCCGCGAGTCCGCCTCGCTGACGTCGGGCGTGGGGTTCACCTCGTCGGACTCGGAGCTGGCGCCGTTCGGGAACGGGACCGCCTTCACCAGCTGCTCGTACTGGTCGCTGGGCACGTACAGCACGCACTGGATGGGCGTGAAGTAGCACTGGCGCGAGCGCTGCGACTTGGACTTGGAATGGGTGGGGGGTCGCCAGGCCGCAGTCGCCTGCGGCAACGACTCTCCGCGCTGGAACGGCGAGACGGAACGGGACTTGAAACGTTGGGTTGGCAGTGAAGAGGGTGTCGCGATGTCCTGAAAAGCGGTTTGGTTAGTTTGGGCATTACTGTAGTGTGAAATTGATGAGGAGACAAAGATAGAAGTCTGTCGGGAAAATAATGAGCAATCGGGTCGCTGAAGTCGGAAAAAAATTGATTTTTCTACAACATACTTAAATGTTCTAAGCGACAAAGCGATTTTCACTGCGACAGTGTGCTCATTATTTTCCCGACAGACTGATTAATCAACTCCAATAACAATGAATCCATAGGGACCACACTCTACATATATTTGAAACATATCACTTGATAAGAGGATTATAAACATGATACTGGGAAAATTGGGCTCATCCGAACGCTGAATATAGCACTGTCAGGAAGCCATTGTGCTATTTATATGATGATTATGACTAATTAAACTTTCCCTTGATTGATAATCGAAAATAATTGGCAAAAGTAATTTCCCCGCAGATTAGTCCTGTCTATGGCGTGCACTCTTAGACCCACGTCGCCGGAAGTCTCATAAACTACGTGGTAACTAACCTTTGTTTCGTAGTCAAAATCTTGGTCTACAAACCAAAACTTAAAAAAAGTTTTTTTAGTTTTGGTCGGTGGAAAAGTTTGGGTCTTGTGATTGCATATAAGGTCTTCAACAGAAAACAATGGTTAATGTGGTGAGATTAGGGGATTAGCGGATGTTTTGGGGGCTTTTATGAAACATGTGGGTCGCAAGATAAATCCATAAACAAAAATTTAAGACATCCATGTTTAAAAACACGGTCGGAGTCTAATCTTTCGTTCTAACAAACTATTACATTAGCCTACTGCAGAGAGCCGACATAACTTGCTGCAAAGATTACTAAGCTAATTAGGACAGTTCAAAGACTTCAGCAATTAAATCGTCTTGGACACATTTCAATTAAAAATAGATTTAATCGGCTTTCCCCCCGGCAAATCTAGCCTAGTCACTCAATTTGCTATAGACGTCGTCACAGAGAGTATGGTAGCTATATTTGTTTGATGAGTCGACCGTAAGACGAGTTGATGGCAAAAAAAAGAGATTATGAGGTGGCCGAAAAGACGTAGTATTAGTAGTCTGTCGGGAAAATAATGAGCATAATTTCGCTGTGCAGATAGCGTCGCTGAAGTAAAAAGAAACTTGATTTCGCCGCGACACAATTTATTTTCTCGGCGGTGATGCGATTTTCGATGCGACAGAGTGCTCATTATTTTCCCGACAGACTGATGGTACTGGGTGGGTCAAAAAGTTTTGACATTTTTTGATATTTCTGCAGAGCGCGAAAAAGTTGTCGCATCTCTCCAAACAGCGACAAGATAAAATTCACGTTCTGCCTCGACAAAGCACAGTGCAAAAAGAAAAAAATAACCCTTCGAAAAGCGCAATGTCGCGCGATAAAACTGCACAGTGCATTTTTTAAATTGCACCGTGCCCATTTTTTGTTACGCAAAGACGGTTTGCGATGCCAACCGCACGGTGCCAAAACATGTCAAGATTTCCTGAACCACCTAGCATCAGTCTATCGGGAAAATAATTTGGATTTGTCGCTGGAAAATGTCTCTCCTCCTCGCAGTCGCTCAACAAAGCTATAGCCGTGGCTAGTCGCTGCGATGATGGGCAATTCAAGGCACAACAAATCCACATTATTTTCCCGACAGACCGATGTCAGTCTGTCGGGAAAATAATATGGTTTTGTCGCAGGAAAATTTCTCTCCTCCTCGCAGTCGCGCAACAAATTCCTAGCCGTTGCGAGTCGTCGCAAAGCGATAAAAAGCGACTTCAAGGCATGCCGAATCCACATTATTTTTCCGACAGACTGATAGACCAAGAAATAAGGAGTATTCGAGGATTGATTGCTTTCCAAACAAGCAAAGACGGATTCCTTACCGGGTCCACCATCCCATCATCCACTCGTCGCTCCATGCGGCCGAAGACTGTCTTTGGCAACAGGAACAACCGCTTCTTCATGGGGAACTGGATGCGTTCCGTCTGCGCGCACACCACCATCCAAACCGACACCACTGCTACTATCGTATTCCATCCCAGCATGACAACTATGATGTGTGTAGTCCTGCAAGCACATACATTATTTTCAGGCCTTCTATAGACTAATCCTTTAACTTTTTTTCCACCGAGTCCGACTCGATGATTCGGCGAGTGGAAACGCGAATATAAAGGAATATAGAAAAACGCGACACGAGTGGGTTGTATGCATGCTGCATGCCGGTATTTATGGTTGTAATATCGAGTGCGTAAGCGAAGCCAAACGACCAGTGCTTTGGTCATGATCGCGGACGACGAGGAGGAGGAGGGCCGGAAAAAGATTAACGCCTACTGTAGCTCAGAATATTCTATGTAAAGACTGGAAGACTCGTCAAAAAAAGATGAAATAGAGAAATTATTAGAGCGTTTAAACTTGGGGTATATTAGAAATTACAATGACAATTAGATATATCAGTCTGTCGGGAAAATAATGAGCACTCTGTCGCTTCGAATCGCCGCCGAGAAAATGGATTGTGTCGCGACAAAATCAAGTTGCTTTCCAATTCAGCGATGTAATCTGCGAAGCGACATTGTGCTGATTATTTTCCCGACAGACTATGGCTTATATGTATACAGGCAATCATCATAGACAGGCTACTTTTAAAAGGGTTTTCTCTACAAACTTTGCGGAGCCGTTTTATAGTGTAAAAGCTGAAGAGAGCATAAAGTAGAAAGAGCAATTGTAATATAATTTTTACTCGAAAAAAAAGGTTCCTAAAAAACTGTCACAAGGAATGTAGAAGATCATATAAAAGTAAATGCAATTTATGGCATTTACAGTGTTCTAGAAGGTCTGAAAAGGGCATACGAAAAATATGGCGCTGTAAATTGATTATACAAAATTTTACAGTGAATTACAGATAATGTAATAATGATTTTAAAACATCAAGGTCCAGTAGAGCAAAAAATACTACAGTAAAACATATATACACCAATTGCCGTACGATACAACCTGTCTATAGCAAATCATTGTACAGGTCCGAGGACTCAGTTACAGGATAAAACGAGCCTCTGTACAACGAACCCATTTGATAACGAACAAATTTTCAGGCTGTCCGCAATTCATCGCTCAAAGCTTTGGCGGCACTGTAACAACCGTCCATGCCCCGCTGCAAGCCCCGCAATAAGCGGCCATGTGGCGAAAAACATCTTAAGACATAAAAAATTAATCAAATTCTCCCCCTCCCATTACCTCGAAAAGAATTAAAAACACTGGACACACCTACCGGCGACACGTAACCCCAAAAACAAACACCTTCGGGCCACCGATGCCCCGCCCCGAAATTTATAGAAGCATGCAATTTCGCCTAATCTCATGACGCCGGCGGGGCGAAAATGCAAACACTGGGGATTAGGCGCTTAATTAAAGTGCAATAACGGTGTATAGCGCGGCGAGCGCAAACATAGCAAGAGGCGTGGATCATGGGGTCAGCCTACCATAGGACGAAAATGGCGTCAATTTGGCCAATGTGTACGCCAAATTCGATGGAAAGAATTGAAGAATTGCATAGCATAAAAAGAGTGGAAAGTTCCAAAAACAAGTTTAGCGACCTATCATCAGTCTGTCGGGAAAATAATGAGGACAATTTCAAAGTGCCGATCGTGTCGCTGAAATGAAAGGCAACTTGATTTTGCCGCGACAAAATTCATTTTCCTGGCAGCGATGCGATTTTCGATGCGACAGAGTGCTCATTATTTTCCCGACAGACTGATAACCCCGCTTACAAAGGCGGAGTTATCAGCTCAATTCCATGAAGTGCGACGCTCGGGCTTCCGCCACTACGCGACATTGTGCCTTGAATTTTCTCGACAGACTAATGTCAGTCTGTCGGGAAAATAATGAGGACAATTTCAAAGTGCCAATCGTGTCGCTGAGATGAAAAGCAACATGATTTTGCCGCGACACAATTCATTTTTTCGGTGGCGATGCGATTTTCGATCCGACAGAGTGCTCATTATTTTCCCGACAGACTGATATTATTTTCTCGACAGACTAATATCAGTCTGTCGGGAAAATAACGGCGGATCGTCACGGCCTAGGAATCGCCCATCATCGCTTTGCTTGATGATGGGATTTCCCCAGCCGCAGCTGGGAAATTGCGACTGCACCCGTTTTTGGATGAGGCAAGATATTTCGCTGCTGCAACCCGCTGTTATTTTCCAGACAAATTGACAAAGAACACTGTCGCATCGCCACCGAGAAAACGATTTTTCTCGCGGCGAAGTCAAATTGCTTTTTATTTCAGCGTCGCGATTGGGGCAGCGGCATTGCGCTTATTATTTTCCCGACAGCTTTTTTGATTTTTTTTTTAAAAAGTACCATTCTGCCGGAAAAATAATGAGCTCAATGTCGCTGCGCCACTCCCGTCGCTGAATTGAAAAGCAATTTGATTTTGCCGCGACAGCATTCATTTTCTATGCAGTATGTGCTCATTATTTTCCCGACAGGCTGATAAAAGCTCAAAGAAACCAAAAAAAAAATTTTGATTACAAAAAGTTCGCTATACGGGAGCTTTTACGATCATAAGACGCACTTAAACTCATAAGCGGTTAACGAAATTCATAATCACTTTGTAGTACATGTTATCGCAGTCACGCACTTTTCCGAATACTCTGAACAGAACATTTTGAAATTGATCCACTACGCAGAATACTAGAGTAATTTGATGCCCCAAACAATCGAATCGTCGATTAAGCCGGGAATTAGACAAGAATAGATGGGGTTTCTAGAATATTCAGTGAAAATGGGTGGTGTTTTTAGAATATTTAGTGAAGATATGTGTATTTGAAATTGTAATGTAGCAAAATATGTCATCATTTTTTGGCGGAGAGGGTTTTGAAATAAATACGTACACAGACTTATAAAATCGTTAGATCAGAATTTTCTGTGATATATTTGCGATATGTTTACTTGCACTTTAACAAAATGTACAGTGCAAAATATCAGTCTGTCGGGAAAATAATGATCATCGAAAATTGCGTCGCCGCGGAGGAAATGAATTGTGTCGCGGAAAAATCAAATTGCTTTTCACTTCAGCGACTCCATCGACGTTGGACATTGCGCCCATTATTTTCCCGACAGACTGATAGCCAGACACCTCTGTTGTCGTGAACAAGATTTCTCTTTGAAAAAATGTTATTTTGTAGAAATGTTGCGCCGACTAAAACTGTCAGAAATTGAAAAAGACGTCGCCGAAAGCACTTTTTCTCTAACATGTCCTCGCATTTTGCACGCTCTCTCGTTTTCAACAATTTTTTTTTGAACTTCTTGGCTGTTCCAAGGAAGCCTATGCAAAAATCTTTTTTTTTGGGTATCAGTCTGTCGGGAAAATATCAGTCTGTCGGAAAAATAACGGCGGATCGTCGCACCTCGGAATCGCCCATCATCGCTTCGCGACTGCAAACCGCGGCTTGGGATTTGGTGCGCGATAGCGGCAAGGCGAGACATTTTGCTGCGACGATCCGCCGTTATTTTTCCGACAGACTGATAACGAGCAAAGTGTCGCTGCATCAATCGCGTCGCTGAAGTGAAAAAAAAAACTTGGGTTTTCCGCGACACAATTCATTTTCAAGATTTTTCAATTTAAAATTTTTTTCGATGCGACAGTGTTCTCATGATTTTCCCGACAGGCTGATATCTCCAATATCTCCATATGGGTGTAAAAATAAAAAAAAATGGAGCTGCCCGTTTTTTGGTCCCGCAATTAAAATTTTTTTATCTTTTGGACTAACCTTTGGGGGATTAAAAAAGCAAAGTCTGCGGAATGCGTGGCCCAGAATAGCATGAAATTCGTAGGCATACCAAACTGCAGTGGCTTAATCTGAAGACCGGGTAATCTCTATATGGTTTAATTGCTCTAAAAAAAATGCTGCCGTAGGTTCCGAAGTAATCGCCCATCCTCGCTTTGTGACGGCAAGCGGTGGAAATTTGCTGCGCGATTTTCCGACGGACTGAAACAGCTTCTGTCGGGAAAATAATGTGGAGGTTTCGTTGCAAAATGTCTGCCCTCGTGGCAGTCGCACACGTCTTCAGCTAGCGTCGTTAGGCGACGATAGGCGATTCCAAAGCGCGACAAATAAACATAATTTTACAGACAGACTGATAGAAAGTACGCTCCTTCTCCGGAGGGTATTCAGAGTCGACTGATCGCTAGATTGATGTCAACGTCTCTTCAGACGCCCCATAACGACATCCCGAACATCCAGACTGCCCACCCCCGTTCTCCAACCCAAACATTTCTTTTTTCCACCCCATGTCTAAACTTATAATAGGCAATGCTCCTCATTCTTCAGTTACGGTAGACTTGGCAGCCGAATGACGCGCTAAACATTTTGCCCGCCCGTTTTCTGCACTCATTATGAATTAGTGAAATTCTAATACAAAATGGACGCTGTTTGGAGCAAATGTTGATGGAATGTTGTGTAGAAAGTGCAGTAAACAACAAGTATAGGGAGATTCTTGAGATTAATTAGGGTGTAATAAGGGAGAAGTCAGGTGAAATTAAAAAAAAAATATATTTAATAATAAAAATATTTTTAAAATTTAATAATTTTTTTTATTTTTTTAAATTAATTGTTATAGTGACAGAAAAAATGGTAGTTTAATCAAAGTTTATTATATTGTAATAGTTTGTCTGAAAAAATTAGACCGTATTTTGAGTTCCTAGAAGCTACAAACCAGTAAATCAAATTAAAACTACAATAAAGACGGAAAAATCCCAAAGAAATATAGTGTTTTACACTGTAAATTAGCAATAGCTGTACGAAAAAGGGTAGCAAAAAAATACTTAAAACTTTGCCAGCATGAATCACTTATAAATTCTGAAAATTTCAGGGGGATGTTTGTTTCACGTACAAAAGGGCACTAACTTGAGTTAGCGGCATCACGCGAAAAGATGAGGGAGCAGAGAAAAAAAATTTGCATATTATTTGCATAATTTAGAAGAAAATTTTACAAATTTATATCCATGTATTCTGTGTACCAGCAGCATTAATATTTTTTGGAA